GTTCAGGCTTGCTATAGTGATGGTTAATTCTTACCAAACTGTAGCACTGCTCAGGGAGCTGCTGCTGTCCCACTCTGTGCTCAGTTCAGTTATGTATTCCAGAAGCCTAAGAGGCTAAAAAGTGCCAGAAATTGCATTGATTTGATGTGGTTTGCAGCAATGCAGGATGTTCCAGGCAGTAGCCCCGCAGGCTCTGTTCTTTGATCTTTGCATGCAGCTCTCGCAGATAATCACAGCTTGCAGACTGTAGTGAGAAGCAGTGGTGGGCAGCCAAAGTGTTGTACGGCCACAGCTCCTGTGATACTGACTGGTGAGCCTGTTTCAGTACAGGACTAACGGGTGTGCATTCTGTGGTGGCCAAGTCAGGGAGAAACCTGGCTCACACATCCAGGAACCACAGGTATCAAAGCAGGTGGTCTTGCTCCTGGTACTGCTGGTAATGCTGCCCCAAGACTATCGCTGTACCTAGGAGATTGTTTGGAAGTATCTCTCGGTACTACCCATTTTCTAGGGTATGAGCAGTTTTAAAAGGCTGGTGTTTGTTACACACCTTTCTTCCTGCTTGTTGTTCTTTTTGGTTAGTCTAGTCAGGTTTTTGAGAACTCTAGTTAGCATTGTTTCTAATTTTATAGGTGCTGGCAACCCAGGGGGAATGACTAACGTTAGTCACGCACATACTGAGGCAATGTGTGCTTTCACTTGCTTTTTCAAACCAGAGTGCTTAAATGACACCTACCTAAAGACAGAGGCTTCCAGCTCTCCCCAGTCCCTCCCTAAATCCTGTTCAGCACAACTGCACCATTCCTCAGCAGCACCTTCCAGGCCACTCATCTCCTAAAGCCATCTGAAGTATGTGCAGAGAAGTGGTTCTAAGAGAAAAGTCACAGAAAGAGAGATCAGAGGAGGAAAAGTCTCTAGCAATATTACTCTTTGCTAATGGAAGGCACACCTACTTCCTCTGACTCTAACCAGAAGAGGACCGTCAGGTGGTAGAGATGCAGCTGAGAAGCAGAGAGCTTTACAATACTTAGCCCTACCTCATATACCATCTGCCACTTATGGAAACTTAAGACTTACCAAACAGAGGCTGGTTCTGTGTTTTCAATATTTAATGCTTGTTGGAAATGACATTTCAGTGTAACCTGTTGCCCCATTGAGATCAAGCTAAACGCCACCCACAGCATTGGCTGTTTGTACCCCAGTACTGAAATAAGCAGGCAGCATGGAAAGCTTCAAGACAAGCTGTAGAACTGGGCTTTTACCTCCTGGGTATACTTTCAACACAGTGGCACTCTTTCACTATTTCTTTTTTTTTTTTTTTTTTTCCAAAAGACTTCAGTTCTTTTGGTTTTAACTCTTACAGAATAAGGAAAAAAAAAAAAAAAAAAAAGTGAAATGGTAGCCATCAAAATAACAGAAAATAACAGAACAGGATCAGGAATCCTTGCTTTGTAGTGGCAGGCCTTTCATTATTACATAAGCAACTCCAGCGGGAGTCTACTGTGGTCAAAGCTCTCCCCTGACTTAAATTTGCTTTCTTTCTGTCACCAGGAAAAAGGGGGAGAGTCATTAACCACCTTCTTTGTGCTGTGCTTGAAGATATGATTTAGAGAACCTAAACTAAAAGCATCAGTTCTTTCTGAGGCAGAGACAGGCAGGTAGCTATGGCTGGATGCCTAAATTTAGCAGGTGTGAATACCACTTTCCACTTCTTTCTTCCTTTTGCTTCACCCTGATACGTGTCTGTTCTTTCCTCTCCAGCAGCTAAGGGTCAGCTAAGACTTGTTGTCTAGTCGAGCTGCTCATCCCCTCTAACATTTTGTGGAGCCTAGATTCCTTCAGTCCAAGGAGAAATGGGTTGGACGTGCAGATTCAAAACTAAGACACACACGACCATTACTTTCTCCCCCATCAAACCACAACAGATGCATCACTGTACTCACTGAGACTAAAGTGTGAAAATACAGGTGATATCTGGTGTTGTGTGGATGCGGCCTTTGAGGCTCCAGATGTCTCATGCATCTACTGTGCTCTTTGTTGCTCCCTGCACCGCTCTTTAAAGACTGGGTAGATAGAACTTTCCAGTCCAGAGTTCAGATAGCAGCACAGCTGTCAGCTGTGTTGCTTTAGATCTACTAAAATGCTTTATTGTTTTGATAGTCTCCAGTGAAAGAAATCAAGATGTCTTCTGCTTAATTCAGAATTTGGATTATCTTATCTGAGCATACTTGCAAACTCCAGGATGTAACATAGTCTCTTTGAATACCTGGTAACTGCCTGCTTCCCTGAAATAGTAACCAGCAGAGCAACGACATTGATTCCACTTCTTCCCTGCAGAACCAATGGAAAAATCAGCAAGCTTGGTCAGTGGGCACAAAGAACTGAACAGTAGCAGTGAAGGGATCTGTGCTAGGAGATATAGCAGTACAGAGTGCAGCATTTACACTGACAGTGTTTATAAGACTACGACAGGAGATGTGCTGTTACAGTAGACACAACAGCTTTTCCTCCATCCTCTCTGGCCATGGAGAGACTGTTGAGTAACTTTGAGCAACCACTGACTTTCTCTGTATTAACTCCTTTCTCTGAAATTACTTCATTACATCTATAAAAAACAAAACAAAAAACAAATTGGTAAGAATCCATCCTTGCACCACAAAGAAATATTTCACACTTGCTGCAACAGCACTGAAGGAGGCTTTGCTTTAAAGTTTAAGACAAAGTGTGCTTCTGTTCTTAACTATAACCACTCTATATGTATAAAACATTAAAAAACCATAGAAATTGACCCCTCCCTAGTATCAAAATTAGAAAAACCCACATCATGACTGTGTTTGCTCTGCTGAAGGTACCTTGCCACACAGGCTTGGAGGATTACAGTCACTGTAATGAACTACTAGGGTTTCATGATCCTTATGATCTAAGCAATGGCATTACTAAGCTTATACTTACTTGGTAGTTCAGCTTGGAAATAGGGGCTTATGTCCCAACTACACTAAGCCTAGGATTTGTAAGGTACCTATGCTCCTGTAGTTTACAAGCAAGCCACTACAATTGAGTGCATCTGAGATGAGGCTGAAACCCTGTGCTCTCTGCTGAGCGTCCCCTGTTTTTATCTGCTCAACAAATGGGAAAGAAAAGCAGTAAGCACAGCAGCAAGGTCACAAAGAAACTGCCTGTCTAAAAACATAATCAAAATGAGAAGGGGAAAAGAAAAGTTAGCTGAAAAACTCAGATCTGTGAAATGAGAGACAGCTGTAGCAGAAAGTACCTTTAAGCTCAAAAATAAGGTCTAGATTTGAATGTTTATGAATAGTTAAGCTATTACAAAACGTGATCATAAACTACAAAAATGAACGTAGCATTTGGTGCCTGAGTTCTGCTCTTTGTAGAACTTGTTAAGGCTGGTAGTACAAAAGATCATTTTGAGATGTCTGCAGCCTTCCCACTGCTGCAAAGCAATGGCTACATGTGCGCTTTTTGTATTCATTTACAAAAGTTTTACTCAAGTCCGAAGGCAATGAGGTCATTAAATGTAGGTGAAGAATATCACTTTGGGGCATTTTCAACTTATAGAAGTCTTCTGGGCTGGGCAGGAAGATCATGGAAGGAGAAAAGTTATTCTGTTCTCTCAGCACAAGAAAAGAAAGAGTAAGCTTGCTAGTAAGGAGGAGATGCAAAAATTCTGGCAGACATAGAAGCACCTACAGCAAACGTTACTGAAGAGGTCTTTGGATTTATGACCTATTCACTCTTATTACAATGTAATGTTTTCAACACTGTAAGTGCTGAAGACCAAGCCTAAAAATAGCAAAGAAAATTACACCACTAAACTGACAGGAAATGTAAAAACTTTTCAAATAAGAGACAGAGAACCTATTGAAACAGTTATATTCCTACTTTGATGCACATTCAATACCAAATAGCAGCAGCATCATGAGGTAATTTGTAATCTCTATGCCCCAAGTTAAGCATCCACGGAACAGAACAATGGCTTGCTCAGAATCTACAGGGAAGCAATACCTAGAAAAATAGAAATATAAAACAGAAACATATTTAACTTTCTAAATCAGAACAAGATAGATATGTAATCAAATTTTCCTTAGTGTATCTTGCCTACTAATCTTCTGTAAACTTCTCTTTTGGTAAGGTCTTTTTCTTTCTTTGCTTATGTACCCACTAAAAAGTTTTCCATCGTAGTATGAAAAAAAAAAATAAATTGTATCTTCTATCTAAATTACATCATGCGTTCTTCTGAATTTGAGACCAGGCATTCTCTGATGGAGTACTTTTTTCCTATTGCAGATGTAGAAAAATGTATAGCTTTAAGTGCATTAAAAGTCTTCCTTATTCTAAATCACTGCTTTTATGAGCTAAATTTGACGTAACTCTCCATTATGAGGGAAGTTAGGAAAACTAAACATCACCTAATAAAACTCTGCTGCACAGTGGAGCTTCCCAAGGCCCGAGTTTCTGTGTGTCAGGGGAAATCAACATTAAATATGCTGATTGTCATGAAGGAACTACCAGGCAATAATCTAAATACAGAGGTTTTTTAGGTAACTAATTACAGAAACAGGACAGAGGAATAAACTCTGGTTTTGAAATGGAATTGCTGTGCAGCAGTTCTGGTATGTCTGCTTCAGTGCTGGCATTCGCTGCAGCCTAAACATTGTCAGATAAAACTTTATTTTCAAGTTTCTCCAAAGAGAATGTCCTATGAACTGAGGCTATGCAATGTACAACTTACGGCATTATTAAGAATAACTACTGGATTAGTTTTAAATGGCATTTTGCAATTATTTAGTAATAGGAGCAAGTTTAAAAATACTCATTCTAAACAACACAGCTACTTAAAATGAAATTACTACAGAAAGCAAAACAATTCTTAAAATCTATTTTGAAATTGGTAACAATGAGAAAATGTTTAAAAAGAAGTTGTACATTATGTTCAGAGACACCCCCCTCCCTTTTCTTAGAAGTAGCAAGACAAACGGGCTGCAGATCAGGTATCTTTGTGTACCATTTTCATCATTCTTAAAGAATACCGCTCCATGCACTGAGTCAAATGGAAAAATGTCAGCAGCAGTGTTTCTAACTCCCCAAGCTAATTTTTTCCCCCCTCCGATTCCTGCAGGTAAATTTTGGCTAAAAATGTCCAAAACAAACTAAGAGCAAGCCAATAATCTGGATTCCTTTCTACTGCCTTTAAATAGAAAGTATTCAGACCGTCCCCATTTTAACTAGTTTTCATGCATACCTTCAGCAGCTGCTGTTACAGAGTCAGCTTCTGCAAAGACTTCACAATCCTTATTCTAAGAAATAAATGAGAGAGCAAAAGTGCAAGAAGTACAATGAATACTTAATTTTATTTTTCATTAAGAAAGAGACATTCCAACAACTGAAGGTGTTTGTTTTTCTCCATGCAGCTATTTCAGGTAGTGGGAGATGTTACGATGATCACCTTGTTCTGTGGGGAACAAAGTCTGAGATGAGTAATTGTTAATACACAAATTTCTTAAATATTATAATGCTAGACCGGTTAAATCATTTAATCAGTAGATGTAAGATATTTACTCTTCTTTATTTCTGCCTAAGTAGAATGCAAAATGCGGTCTCAACTTTAATGCTTTTAGTTTAATTTTATATCACCTAGACTAGATATAACATGCACAAAAAACCCCACTGCTAAGACAGTCACTATAATCACTCAGATTATTATTTTTTTAATAAATCCCAATAGAACTTGAGAAAAATTCCTCCCAAAATTGCAGTAAACCAACTGTATGTTCTCAAAAGATTAAAGTGATAAGCAGTCAGCATTTACTGTAAATGACAAAATCATGACACTCATTTCCACACAACGTACATTTTTTTAACTTTAAAATGTACTTTACACACTTTCTACTCTGGTCGATATAATCTATAGTTATTATGCATATCTATAAAATGTTTGAAATAAAAATTGTTAATTGGATTAGTTTTATGAAATGCAGAATAGCTTAAAATTGACTGACCATTCAGGTGGGCTGTTTACTCTAAATATTCTTGTTAAACTTTCCAGATCTTCACTTTTGAAATGGAGTTCTTCAAGTAACGTGGTCAGGAACTGTGTGTATGCTGGGCTTCTCTGAGTATTTTTAAAAACTGGAATATTTTGTGACAATCTGGCAAGAAAAACCCAAACAAACAGAAACAAACACTGTATACATGTGATACAGAAAAGGGACTTTTCAACTGTAATGATACAGGTTGTGTGAGTTCAGACAATTGTAGTGAAGAAAAGAAGTTTGTAATATCCCACTTGATTCATTACGGTACAGTGCATGACTGTATACATTACACACTGTTTGACCTGTACTGAAATACAAACATTTATGCAGATGTAGTGAAACGAAAACAAAAAATTAAAAGAAAATGGGCCAGTAGTTTGTATGCCTTTAATAAATTGTATGCTGATGTTACTTAATTTAGGGAAAAAAAAAACCAGAAGACAATGCCAAATTACTTGTAAAAAAGAAAAAATATCAATGTAAAATTTCTAAACTAAAAGCTCTTACACATTCATCTTGTAAAATTTGTATAGTGCCTTCTATGAATAGAATGTGAAAGAGCAGTGAAATTCATCTTAAAGAAGAACATTCTTGCTACAAATTTTTAGTAGGGCTCCTGGACAGAAGCTGTGGGTAACTTTCATCACACACATCAGACTTCACAAAGACATGCAGTTGGATGCATTTAATTGGAGGACTGCCCCCTGCAGTATGTCACAAACACGTAGCACACCACAATAGTGAGCTCATTTTGCTTTAATGAAGATTTCTCCAATTACATAGAAGCCTCCTACAGAGGCATTCTGGATTATTATTAATTTTACTGAATGCAAGCGGACACACAAAACATCAATTAAATTCCCAAACTGAGGACCATTGTGACTGTAATCAGAATATGATACCTCAGACAGTCTGTACCTTAAAGCAGTGTAAGTTAATTTTTACACACTGAAGTGCTATGAAATTAGGCTTTAGGAAAGACAGTCAAAACCAGATGCTATTAGAAAGGAATGATCCTTTGGTAAAGAGAACACAGCTGATTTAAGCTTGAGAAGTTTTAATACGAGATACTAAAATTCAGTTTTACAACTGATACTATATCAAAATATAGCATTGTAGTCAAGCTATTTTTTTGTTTTGGTAATGCAATGAAGTGCTTAAAGTCTCAAAGTGCCAAGAGTTGTCAAGTGAATGCTTCAAAAAATAAATAGAATCAAAGTGGGTAAAATTATATTTCTGAATTTAGCTAGTAAAGCTCAGCTTTAAATTTGAAACAGTACTTGGGCTTTCTACGTTTGCTAGTTAGCAACATTTTTCAGAAATTTGACCATTTGGGCCTGATTTGCTAAACTGTTAAGTAGGATGGAGTCCATTCAGTTTCCACTGATTTTAATATTTACAATGAATGGAAGCTGAAAGTAGTTGCCAACTGAGAGAATAAAGTATTTTCATTTGAAAAGTGACAGCCCTATCCCAATGTTACTTGGCAAGAGCTCACATCCCAGCAACAGTTGCTTGGTCCCAGTTACTGTATGTAGATAAATATTGCTCCAGACAAACTGACACTGTAGGGAATATTTCAAAACTTTTGAGAATTGATGTGCTCTGAAGATGCTGCTCAAGGTATTCTACTGCTTATTAAAAACTCCACAGCCTAGAGAACCTGTAAACGTATAACAACTGAGATCAGTCTCCCTGCAGTCATTTGTATGAAGATCACCTTCCCTGTAGAAAACCGGCATATAAACTCTTAATCTGTATAAACTCTTAATCTGCATATAGACTCTTAATGTAAGATAAAACAGTGGTAGAACACAAGCAAAAGATCTTACAAGACACGGTAAATACAGTTTCCCAACATAGAAATAAGTTTCCAAAATTTCCTCATTAATAAATAGATTTTTTACACGTTAAATTATCTTCCATTTACTTGGGAACTCTATTTCAGTATGTCCATTTAATTAAATACTTTAACTACCCAGCACTGACATTTATTAAGATTTCAGGGGATGCTCAAAGTAACCATGTGGTGTGAAATTAAACTGATGCATAAACCCCGCTATGTAAACATTTGCACAAAAGTGAAGTATTCACAGTTAGACTTGTGATTTTTGGACTGTAGCCACTAGGCTTTGTTCTGTATTTAATGACAGGCAGGATGGAGCTGTCTCTCCTAGTGGGAAGTACAATAGTTAGTATTTAATCTGGTAAAACAGTGTCTCCAACCAGGGCTGACAAGCTGGAGGTTTTTGCATCGTGATGCTTTATCAGCAGGGAAACAGAGGAAGTGCTGATAGAAGATCAGTGACAATTTCAGACTGTTGGTCTGGAGACGAGGATAGTGAAAGATCAGGAGATGCATTATTACAACTCTTCAAGTTATTTTTCACACGATTTAGTAGATTATATATGAAAAGAGTTTGGTGGCATAAATAGTCATGACTTCCTAAATACTGGTGCCAGGGGGCTGCAAAATATTCCCTGCAGTGTTGTAAATCTATGAGCGTTTTAACTGAATTTTCTTTTTATCTACCTTGTGCTTAAGAGAATAAGAAAAATGCTATTAAGAAAAAAGCAATCAGACTGTGCAGTTTTAAGTAACATAGTAAAACAATAACGCTACCCAGCTCACATGCTGAACAGTATTTCTCTCTATGTATATTTTTACAACTGTGGCTTGTGAAATTACGTAGTTTCATAAATTACAAATATTTCTCACTATGATGCCCTGTTTAAGACATTCTGTTTACAGAGTAGCTGTTGTAGCCCATGCTAAGAAAGAAAAAACTATTTTTATTCTCAGAGAAGTGACCAGGCCTTAAATACTGTGGAACAAACTTAAAAATAAAAATAGCTGTGGATTATTATTTTTTTTTTACCAGATCTTTGTTCGGAAAGTCATTAAGCTACTAATTATCTGATAAGTGGGAGACAAAAATCAAGAAATAATTTCAGAGACACATGCGTAAGTTTCTAGCAATTATTAAAAAATTGTGCCCAGGTGGAACACTTCTGTATACATACGTAAAAACTTGGATTACATATGTAATCTTGGAAAACTGTCCGTAGGCATTTAAATGATGTTTTAACTTGTCATTTGAAAAATGGTTGTTCCTTTCTACTTCTATAATGGTTTTTATAGTGGCTGTCTAACCAGAAGGCACTTTTGTTTGCAAGAGGAGCAGGCACAAGTTGCTGGTTTGCACAATAGATTTGATAGTCTTAGTAATGCTGGTCGCACCTAAATTAAATGTACTGCAGAAAGGAGCATCACGGGTTGTGCTCTCATCCTTGCATGAAATGCTAACTGAACCAAACCATAGTTTCATGCAAATAAACCAGGACAGTCTTTGGGATCAATATCTTGACAGCTTCGGTGACTCTATCTCAGAAGGAACTATCATGACCAACTTAATGATACGCAAGATTTCAATTTAAAGATCATGGAATTGACTTGAAACTCTGAAGCATCTTCAGAAAAATCAGAGTGTAAACAGGAAATAAGATTTGAATCACAGCAATAGTATTTGGTTACTACAACAACAAAACAAGAAATATAGAGTCTGCTATTTGGTTAGCTCTTTTGCATATTGCAACATTGATGCTGAAAAAACTTCTGTGAAAAACTCAAGTAAGAAAAGCTAAAGAATTAAGTGATTGAAAAAAACCTATCACCTGCAGAACCGTACATAATGTTGTCCAACGTTACACACCCGTGCTTCAAAAGGTTGCCCTCAGCACAGTTAAAAGGAAACTTTCACGCTCACTTCATGGAAAAGTTGTAAAGTGTATATCAGACTTCGTGAAACAGTGTCGTTTCCTGCACACCCACTTACACCATATGGTAAACAGGGCTTTGTAAAGTTTAAAAAGTGTTAAGAATGTCAGGCTATATCTGACTGATAAAATTTGTGTTCACTGACTATTCCACATATGCTACCTGTTAAAAAAACAAAAAGAAAAATTAATGCAAAGACCAAGGTATTACTATCAAGCTATTAAATGACATCTGGCTGCTGAAAAACATTTACATAGTTGAGTGCTTCAACTCAACATTCAAGCTTTCTATGAATTAGTCTCCTTACAAAAACATTTGACAAATACTTTTATAAATGAAAACGTATTTGAAAGTTAGTTACGTTGTGTGAATTAAATGTAATAGACTGATATTGTTTGCAGTTTCTTCACTTATCAATGCCTACACTAACCCCTAAGACTGAAGACAATGGGAAAAGATGATGGTGGAGTAATATATTCTGTGTAGTTAAATCACTAATTGGCACTTCCTCAAAAAAAGTGATCTAATTGTATAATACCATTCTCTCTCGCATGCTGGACTTCAAGAAAATCTTTCTGGCCTTTTGTTTTAAAATGAACTCTGTGGTCCCCTTTGAAAAAGTTACACTTTCAATGCCACCAGTGTAATTTCATCCAGTTAGAGGCCCCTGAAACAGGCACCTGAAAACAACAGTAAGAACACAACCACCTAAGAAAAGTCAAGTTCCTTTCCAGTATCCAAAGTTGGTCACTTAAAATTACACAAAAAATGAAAGAATATGGGTGCACAGAAAGGCACCCAGTATCATGCAAAGCTTTTGTATATTCATAAAGAAAAGCCATATTCTTATTCTCAAAACAGTTAATATTTAATTCCTCTTAGAAAAATGTAAGTATTGCCAGTGTTTTTAACTTCTTCTAAAGGCAGAAGCTTAAAAGCTAAAAGCCAGTCACTGTGGCAGAAGCCATGCATCCAAACTCACTTATTTCAGCTCTTTACTCTGTTTGGCATGCTTGGAAGTGACACAAAGATGGAATTATAAAGCAGAACGAAGGAACAGGCACATCCTACCTTTCTATAGAATGCTTTGCAAAATCAGTTATAAACTTTTTTACCAATTAATGACATTGTTTAAGCACTGTGAATGATTCTTAAAAGTCATCACAAATAGAAGTTCTTCTCTCAGTTTCCTTCTAGTTTCATGCATTTAAGACTTTTGTTTTTTTTGATCATCATAGCTGTGATGACTGATACTTATTTTTCTACCAGGATGATGGAGTCTCACTAATGATAACACAGGTTTCTTGAACACTCATTTTAGAACATGGAAATGAAG